ATGCCTTTGCTTTGAAATACTACTTAAATACAAGCTGCAAGTGCAAGAGGCCTCCAATTAACAGCAGAGACCAGGGCTGAGCTCACCTATTTAGACACCCTTGAGGGAAATGAACACACTTGCAGTCTGGGTTCCTTCCTGCCCCAGCCATGTGCACTATGGACCCAGAAGGAGAGCCTTTACATGTCTGTGTCTTGGTTTCCTTGATACAGTCAGGAGAGCCACCTTTCACACTTGCCGTGGCTCCCTGCACGGACAGCTCCACTTAGTGCTCCAGAGCACAGCGCTCTGCAGAAACACCAAAGCCAAGTCAAGCCTGTCTTACAACTTTCCATGGCTGCAAGCAACATTAGAGCACCACAGACAAGGCTGCTAGAGAAGGGCAGCTGGTCCTGAGATACAGCTCTAAAGGCATGCCACTAGGGCAGGGGTACCCCATCAGCTCCTCTGGCCAGGCACTGACTGGCAGCAACAAAGTTCTCCTCTTCCTCACTGCAGTCATGCAAGGCAGATGGCCAATGCTGTCTGACCACAGCTCACTAAATCCGAATCGCCACAGCCCATCACTCTCCTCCATGCCCAGCTATTGCAACTCCACACGGCAAGGCAACATACTTAAACCTTTTCTGTTTCTTATTCTTGTCTTACACTTTCCCCACTGACCACCGTCAGCCTCTCCTTCCAGCCCTTCACTCTGACCGGCCACCCCCCAGCTCTCTGCAGCCACAAGGCTTCCCACTCTTCCATCAGTACACAGCACAAGAGGAAACCCAACAGTGTGATGAGAGGCCTCCAAGGCATTAATGCAAGGCACTGCCTCTTGCAATGGCTTTGCTCCTGGCAATACATTGCTCAAGAATTAGGGCTTGGCAATCCCTACAGTGATAGGAAGGGGAAAGATCTACTGTTTCTTTTGCTCTGTGTTAACTTCTCTCCACTATTTTCTCACCCCTTCTTCTGCTCCACTTGGCATCTCGGCACCATTTCACTCTTGTGTACCTCCCTTTTCTTGCAGTGGCCACACACAGCAACTCATCCAAGCAATCACTTGGACTGCCCAGACACAGCAGTCAAGGCAGTCACTCTCTGACTCCAGTGCCCTGCCCACACACCTAGCAGAAACACCTGGGAGGAGAAGGCCCATTCAGCTTTGCAAGCTTTTGTAGACAATGTACACCAGTTCTGTGTATATGCTCACAACAGCTCACAAGGAACTGGTCAAAAGGAAAAAAAAACACATATATACATATATCTACAAGAAATCACACTATTTTCTTTTTCATATAGATTTTAAGAAAGTAGAGCTTGCTAAAACCAAACTAGCACCACTCTTCCTCCACCTGCAAGGAGGAGGGAATCAGCTTTCGCAACAGGTCCCAAACCTGCAGGACTGCACACAGGGTACTCCAGATTGCAGCTACTTTCATACTACTCTGGTCCCAGCACTCAGCACTGCATACTGTATGTAGCCCCTACTAGTCCCCTTCTCTTGCATAGCCCAGTTAGAATACTCCACCCACAAAAACAATAAAGTACCATGAAATTGCATCAGGGCATGTAAATGTTATTGAACTACGCACAGAACAGGTGCCCCTTTAAAGCATGACTCTCTTCCTCTCCGGAAGGCACATGCAGCAGGTTCCCTGGTGTCAGGTGTAGACTCAAGTGATGAAAGAAAAATATATAAATGTTTATTAAACCTTTGTTGCCATTCACACCACCAACTTTCACACCCCAGTGCCAAGCTGTTAACGCATTCCCATGTTGTTCCAGAAGACTTTTCACAGCTCCTGTCAGAAAAGGGAAGCTTCACAGGGGCAGCACTCGCTGGAAAAGTCTCTGCTCTTGCCACCATCAACAAAAAATGTTCACAACCAGCTGTTGGTGGAATAAATGTGTCCTACCCAAACTGTGTGGGAATAAAGAGCTTCTTCCAGCGAGGCATGCGGCCACTTCACTTATACATCCTGATACACGTTTTACTCAAAATTGTTTATGCTAAGATTCCTCTCAATTTACCTAAGGAATAGGACAAAAAATTAGCCATGATAAGCTAAGTGACCATTGGTTGGTCTGTGAGGCTTCAGGCCAGGTGGCAGCTGTGTGGGCAGGCTGCAGTTCATATGCTCACACAACAGCATCACCTCCTTGGAGAGCTCTGCTGCTGCCCAGGCAGGCAGCCCCACAGCACTGCCCCTTGGGGCGCACACACCTCTCAGGGAGGCAACGCAGCACCCACCCCTCTGTGCCACATCTCCTTTCTGGCACCCAGGCTCTGCTGTATTGCTGTACTGCTGGCAAGCATGAGGCAGGGCCCCGCAGAGAGGCGCGCACCGCCTGCTCGAGCCTCAGCAGGGCTGTAGAAGTGCCATGGCGAACCGCAGCGAAGGCGGTGTGAAATCACACAGCAATTCTCTCTGCTGCCAGAACTCCTCTTTTCCCCCACAACTAGCTCTTTTATCTGCCACTGGAGACCCTGTTCTAAAAGGAATAAGCAAAGGCAAGATGTTTCCCACAAGATGAACATTGCTACTCCTCTCAGTACTCCAAAACAAGAGGGGGGCGAAGTGAAACACTTTCTCAGCTCAAAAGGTGACAATTATTACATGCTACATTACAGCTTAGACGGCTTTTACAATACAAAAGCTTTGACAAGCTCGTATTTACTTTGTCCCTGAAGCACATGGGGACACCTACTCATGTCAGTGTTTTGCACAGCATGTTTTTCAAAGGTTTATCATTTTGAAAAATGCACCTGAGGATCTTCAGCTTCTCATGCAGATCCTGTAATTCAGCTGATCATAAAGCATGAAGAAGAACTAAGTGACTGTTTATCAATGTACATTCCTAATGAAATTAATCCCAAGCACTAGAACAGAAGCAGGCTGTTCCTATAGCCAGAATGAATAAAGCAAGTAGCTTTATTTTTCTTCTCCTAAGATCAGAAAACTGTGTTCCTAAATAAATCCTTATAGAAACAATTTAGCAGCATGCTTCTGTCAACCTCAGCTGACATATTATAGCCCAATATTATGTAAGTTTTCTCATTTATCTAAACAATCTGAGAGATCTGTCAGCTCCCTCTCTCTGCCTGTACCTCATCTCTCAGCTAGCGCAACATACTACTTCAGCTTCACATATTAAAATCAGCATGACCTGCATTATTTGTCCAGGATGCATAAAAGACTTTGAAGAGCTGATCCTTCAGTGTGAAGGTAAACTAAACTGACCAAGTAAAAGATTTGTTAGCTGACAGATCTTTTAGGTACTGTCTGTATCTTCTAAATATTGCACCTTCTGATGCTTTCTAGTGAAAGGTAACTGCTGCCTTAAAAACAAAAACGCCAAAGTCTTTTAAAACTAATTACAACAATTCAAGATTCAACTTTTATTTTCTAGATGAGTTATTCAAGTGACACATCAAGTGACAGGTGAGTATCTGAACCTGCTCATTGTCACAGCCTGTAGTTCAAAAACACAGTGCCCGTTCCCTCCACGCATGGTCACTAATTTCCTTTGTGCGTCAACCTGTTTCTCCTCCTTGCTATTCTCACAGCAGAGAGATGCTGCAAAAGCAAGGTTCCCCCAAGTGAGATGTTCAGCCAGTGTGGATCATTGCACTGAATGGCATGCCTCCTTGGAGCAGGTTTCTTGCAAAGCCTGTTTCCCTTTGTAAGTGCCAAGAATAAAATCTTAGCCACCTAATGCAGCATGTTCCACATGTTAGTTCACAACACATTGAGCAACTGTGTTAACTGAGATGGATAGCGCTGTCAAACAGGAGGCTGGCTCACCATGATGGAAACAGTGGGATATGCTGACCTTTTACATTCAGAAGAAAAGTGTCCCTAAAATGACAGGAAACATTTCATATTAAAAACCAAAATAACTACCTTCTTGCAGAGCTTTTACTATCCTGTTGTGCAAATAAACACGTGTGTGAGCTCTGCCTATGTAAAGAACCTGAGCCTCTCTCTCAGAGCAGAGGCTGACAGAGGAAATGAATCATTATCACCCTGATTGGAAAGAAGTTTGTACAAGGAGCCTGTGCTACTAACCACTGCCTGGAACTCCTGGATTCAACACCAGTGCTGCTCCCTCTGTTTGCACGTTCCAATGCCTAGCTATACAAAATAACTAAAACCAATACATAAAATCCAAGCCCCCAGGCAAAGCTTCTGTTACACTATTCTAAATGCACACTGATTTTACTGGTGACATGGAGATGAAACTGGAACTTACAGGCTTCTAATCTAAAAGAATAAGAACTGAAATAACCTGTTTAGTATAAAAGCCTCTTGAAATGCAAAGTTCATTCTGGGAAGATTTTTCCTAACCCACCACCTGCTGCCCATCTCCTTCAAGATTAGAATTTTAGGTTTGTGTTTTTCAAGCTGATATTTTGGGTTGAGAGAGGAAAGTTTTGTTTATTTTAAGATTTCACTGCTACTGGAGATTCATCTCTAAGTGGAAGAGAATATAGAGCTTCACAAAAGGCTTTGCAGCAATACAGTAGGTAAGTGAAAACAGAAAAATCTGCCTGTACTTTTAGCACTACAACTACTGGTCATAAAGAGAGCATATGTATATATATATATAACCATTATATACAACATATAATTTTAAAAATGAAAGGCTACAATATGTTGTTCAAAACGGCCCTGATACAAAGAGAAATACTAGATACCATCTAGCTGTACACCTAGAGATTCTATCTGGCTCTTCTGTGCTGACTTCCTCAAAGCAGCAACCTGCCTCATGCAAGTGTGTCATGAATATCACCACATTTCACGCTTCAGCAAGATCCAGCTAATGCTTTCTAGGCAGGCCAAAAAGGTAGGGCTTGTTGTACACCTAGTTTAAGATTAGGCAATCAACACAACTGATATAACCACTTCCAAGATTAGCCACCAATTTTCTTGCCTACTCCTTACATTGAATAACCTCAGATGCCGTCTTCTGCCAGTGCAGAGAAGGGGGAAAAGAACTTTATTGAATACCTTGTGCCTGAGCTGCAGAACTGTGGGAATACCCCAGAGCCAGGAGCGCTGTCTCCACCAGCTGGCTAAAGAGCACATCTTTGCGAACCAGAACGAACTCAGCATGTTCTTCTCGATTATCGTATTCAAGAGAGGCGTCCGACTGTTCCACCACACAAAAGACTGGAATCATCAAACCTAGATGGGAGGGGGGGGAGGGAAAAGCAAGCAGAGCATCAGTAAGAGAAGAACAACAATTGTGTCATACATCTCTGGTTAAAGCTGTAAATTAAAACACCTCCTAGAAGGCTCATCTTAAGTTGAAATCTGCCTTTTGTTCCCTGTGGGATAGTTTTTGTTTTCTTTCCAAGGGAAATACTGAAGTCTCATCACTTGACTCATTTAAAAACCACATTAAAAGCTCCAGAAAATACAATTCAGGAACAGAATCACAGTCAGCATGAGGACGAACAAGATTTCCTAATAAGACCTTTTCAACATTGCAGAAGTTTTCTACAGTTCCTTGAACGGCCCTGTTCTTTCAGGTCAGAGCTCCACATTCAGCTGTAATGAAAACCTGACACACAAATGCCACTTCTGCTTCTCTCCCCACAGTCAATGTATGGAGGAGTCAGCAGAGGCTACTCCCATATGCAGCTCTTGGCTGAGATACGCTTATTTGCACACTTTCAGACCATGGCCAGTCTTCTCACTGTGCAAGGAAAATATCCTTGCATTGATCTCACTGAAAATGATTATCTTGTGCTGGCAGCTATTGGTCATGCAGACCCAGAGAGGCAAGGGGCTGTTCTCCCAATGCATGCATGAAGAGAGTGAGAACAGCTCTCTTCGAAAGAGGATCTAGGATGAGGAGGAACCACAGAAGTGGAAAACTCGGGGGGAGGTCTGGATTCAATTTTGTTCTGTTTCATTGTAAATTTACTTTTGTGGTTACAGGATCAAGTCATCTATGGCAGTAAGTCGTGGGGCATGAACTTAAAGGGATACAATACTACAGACAGTAGAGAAACAAACCAATTTACAGGAACTGCCCTACAGTACTTGAACTGCATGCACAGAGGGAAGATGGAGCAGACAGAAAGCCTACAGAACTGCATGGCCCTTTTCATCACTTGCTACAGGCCAGGCTGTAATCATGGGATGGCAAAGGAAAAAACATTACCTCCAGTCACAGAAATTTATTTATTTATTATATACCATTTGGTAGCCCCCAGATAAACTGGGAAATACTGGGGCAAATCTCAGCCTAAAGCAGCTCTTCACATGTGCTAACTAAGGCTCATAATACTGCCAGATAGTTCACCTCTAACCTCTGTTCTTCAGCATGAAATATAACCATTTCCAGTAGATAGCAACTATGAAAAGTAACTGAGCATATTTATGAAAGGCCAGACACTAATCACTGCATTCCTGGACAACGCACTTCTTTAAGGGAAAAAGAGAAGAAAGCCACTTTCCAGTTCTCCTTCCATACACTCAAATGTCTTTGAGATCATCTACTATCAGTACCTTCAGTATCTACAATAGTTATAGATCCCTTCAGAGGGGTCACCCTGAAATAGATACAGTCACACCAGTAGCAAATGCTGCGGGACTTAAATCCTCTTTGTCTTGAATTTGCAGAGACCAGATTTACCTCAAAATATGGTTTAGATACACGATTCTCACTTAGTGACCTTTCGGGCATGGAGCAGCTCCCAGTCTGACATTCTATCTGCAGGCCAGCAGCAGAAGCTACAAACGATATCCAGCTGATGTGTTTCAGTTCTTTACTTTAAAACACATCCTGAAGTAATGTGTAAGTAGGTTATGGCATCACATTGATGCTTCTCCCTCATCACTGCTTGATTCTGGGTTAAACACGCATTTTGCAAGTTCAAGCAGCCAAATTTTAACACACGGTGTTAAAAAAACCTAAAAATCTTAGTGAAAAAAACTCTCTTGGTGCTTTCCTGAAAAGACAGTGACAGGCTGAGCCTGCTCCTCAGGAATCAGTGATAAAATGTCTATTCCTAGCAAAGGTTAGAAAATAAAGGCTCTTTGTTCGTAAATCATTTAACTAGTGTAAATGAAATTTAACCTCCCTAAGCAACACATGTCCCCTCCTGCTGAACTTAAGCCCATCTTAGCACTTCTGATGGGGCTATTAATACCCTAACAAAAGAGCCACATACCTGGTCAACTGCTGAGGCTGTGATATGGGTTCTGTAAACTACAACTTGGCAAGACAGAAAAAGTAGGTGAATACAAACTGATGAGAGGGATTCCACAGCAATTTTTATCCTTCTGCTGGAAGCTTTCCCTATCACACAACAGTCTTTCCACCTTTTGAGCACAGAAGTCGCACCTATTCTCCACATTTGTTATTTACTGTCCCAGTACAAACATGATCTCAAATGCTTGAACTGATGCTGTACATGACATCACTTCATTGATGGCACGAAGGACCCACAGGACTCTTGCCCATGATGATTTTCCTGCCCCTTCCTGCTGCTCATGCTTGCAGGGACCCTGCTACAGAAACAGCTTTTGCAAAAACATCTCTGAACTCAGTGAACAAGAGTAACTGATGATAAGCTGCTATGAGTATCTTAAAAACAGAGCAAAGGGCAGGTTACCACATCTGCCATTGCTAACCCAATCTCCCGCCTCTCTATAGCACCTGGAATTTTAATACCAATGCTATTTTAACAAAGAAAAGAAAAGTAACCTAACTTATTTCCAAGTAAATCTCACTCCAAGGAAGTTCCATCTGCTTTGCCCTCTCTTTCGCATTGGAGAGTTAAGCTATAATGTCTCCAGTAGATTTATTGCCTCAAACTTCCCTGTTTCCTGGTATTAGCTGAAAATAAATTAACATATTTCCAGTACATTGGAATCTGAAGTAAAAAGTATCTGCAGCCAAAAGCCAACGTACTCCTTACACAGTGAAATACACCATGTCTTACTCCTAGATGCACATATTACACCTCCAGCTCACTACAGGACCCTTACAGAAGAGCAATGCAAGTTAGTCACTGTTCATTGTCATTCCAGTTGATGAACTCAGAGCAATATTCAGAGAGCAGGAGACCAAGCATCCATTATGAAGTCTTGTATGCAGTGCTACAGCAATGCAAGGCAGCCTTACTCATAAATCCTGAATCTTCTCAGCTCTTTCCCTAATGCCTGATCAGCCAGAGCTACTGTCATCCTTCCTCTCCCATGCATAGGCACAAAAAAGGCTTCAGTCCCTTCTGCACTGAGCTTCCGTGCATTTGCCCTCTCAACTTTAGATTGATGCTGCAGTGAATGATGCTCATGGTAGATGACATACAGCACTGATTTTCACACATGGAGAAAATGAGGGGTAAACTGAGGGCTAAAAAGGAAACAATTTGTTCCCCTAAAGGATGAACACAATACTGGAATGCACACAAGACATTGACAGTGATCACAAATTATACAAAAGACTTTTTCTCCTTGATGTTAATTCACTTAACTGACTTACAAGCAGCTCTTTCATGTTTCTCACAGAGCTTCGACCCCACAGAGATAGCATCTGCATAAAATGTTAGGGGAGCATAAACCAAGATCTACATTAAGGCTTTTATAAGGACATTGACACACATCAAGAATTCCTTTCCGATGGAAGAGGGAAAAACTGTCCCCACTACTCCCCAGACGAACAGAATGGTTAGTAAAAACTGGTACTTTGTATAACAAACATTACAAATCAGGGATGAATTTAAGCTCTGCTGTTGCTTTCACGGGACAACAGAGATGACTTTCTAAACACAGTTGCGTTTTTTGCTGAGACTCTTCTAAGGGGCAAAGAAATTGAGAAGAAATTAAATATGCGTCAGAGACCTGTCTCTAAATGCCCATTTTTAACTCCCTGTCCATTTAAAGCTATAGTTTAATTTCACCAGGGAGCAGTCCATTCGTAATAAATGAAGGAAAGCAAATCCACCATTTCATTCAAGAAGTGAAAATTCTGGACACTCTGCTGCATAAAACATTACATTTTTACCCCCCCCCCCCCAGACACGCAGCTCCCTGGAAAACATTTTCAGTTGTAAAATTTCTAAGTAAAAGCTGTAAATTTCCAATGACCAACTAGAAGGACAAGAGAGAGTAGATACTAAGAAGTCCTGCACTATTTCTTTTGTTCATTTGCAAATGATACTTTGTGCAGTGCATGTTTTAAAGCAAGTAATAAAGGTGATACGATCAACACTGAACTTCTACACATTGTCTACTTCATAACCACCACAGAGCTGGTACCTAACGCAAAAAAGAAAAGGATACAGAAAGTTGAGGAGGATATTAAACTATTTCAGCCACCCACCTCTCCAGCCATTAAACAGGGAGCAATGCTTGCGTGTCCTAATAAGTACAAGATAAAGATCAACCAGTAAGAAGAGGCACAGTAAAATTTGTGTCTTTTTAGATTAAAATCTGTTTCCATCAGCACAAGTTTTAAGCCCTGTCTAGGTGTTATTTAATTTAATCTAATTTGAACAATTTCCAAACATCAGCTTGATTAATTTCAACAGCATGGTGTTATGGAAAGATTTACTGTACAGGGGTTGTCTAGCAGGGAATTAATAAAGAAGCCAGTTCTTAGCCTTGAGTAACATGAGGTTTTCCCACATTTCTAGTGGGAATACTTCACCGCACAAGCATGTTTTCTTCTGGGAGTGAAACCCACCAAAATTATTAAAAACCGAGATCAAATGGTGGTGTCAAACCCAAAGGAAATCATTCTACAGCGGAGAGATTTTTATCAAATGAAGAAAGTGGAAAATAAAGTTTTTGTTGTTGCTGTTGTTCTTTGGGTTTTTTAGGTTTTGTTGGTGGTTGTTGTGGGGTTTTTTAAACAGAACACAAGACACACAAGCAGAGAAATCTCCCTCACAGACAAAGTACATTTCTATGGATGGGAGCTCAAAAAGAAAGATATTTCTTTGAAAATTTATGAACTGCTGAAAACCCTTCATTATTGTATGCAGAAAACATTTCCCCCAGTAGAAACCGTAACATGGGTTATTCTCTAAGCTTCTCTTTCCAACATGGGGTGGGGGTGAGGGAGAAAGAAATAAATTAGGTAACAGCAAGAGCAGAATCCACAAAGGTTTATCCCCAATCACACCTTTAAACACTGAATTACAGCGATTTCAGCTGGACTTCTAACG